TGTCGTGTACCCCCACCCCGTCTTCCCTCCTTCACCCCGTTCCCCCCCCTTTCCCTGTTGTCCCCCCCAGGAGTGCCTGTGTTTCCTTGCAGTAATGAAAAGGAGCGGGCGAAAGTCCCCGTGAAGAAGAAGGAGGACCCGAGTGCCATCAAGGAGCGGGAGGTGTAAGTGCTGCCAACGCTCTGGCGAGGGAGGGGAGGGAGGATGAGCTGGGTGGAGGGCAGGTCCAAGCAAAAGCTTTTGGAGTAGGAAATGGAGTAGGAAAAAGGCAAGGGAGTGGGCTTGGGAGGCAGCAGGAGGCCTGATGGGTCACCATCCCACCCTGACTTGTTTCTGCTCGTTACCCTTTCTTCACTGTGCGCAGTTGCAGGACTGGGTATGTTGTTAATTGCAATTAACTGACTTGAATCCTTTGTCTTCCCCGCAGCCCCCAGCATCCCTCTTGTTTGTTCTTCCAGTATAATACACAGTTGGGCCCCCCCTACCACATCCTGGTTGACACTAACTTCATCAACTTCTCCATCAAGGCCAAGCTGGACCTAGTGCAGTCAATGATGGACTGTCTCTACGCCAAGTGTGAGTGTCTGCGTCATCTGCAGCTTCTGCTGGACCCCGTTAGTGCCATGGTGTGCTTGTGATGTGCTTTATTGGCCTCAGCTCAACAGCTGAGGGAAACAGAAATCTTGACAAAAAAAATACGTGCTATAATTGTGGAGCTCATTGTTCATGGCTATGGTAACCCTGGAACTGTCTTTGGTTTTAGTCAAATGGTCTTAAATGCTAATGTCAACAGAGGTAAAGCATTAATAACCTAAAAATCTAGAATTACCATGGCATTGTCAAACTCAGTGGCTCTATATTTCATCACTTTGCAACCTTACCTGTTCTTACAAGTTTAAAAATGTAAGTAGTATGTTGTAGAGTTCCATGGTAATTAACTGTTCCCGGGCATGTGGGCAATACTGTAGGGGGCTGTAAAGAAATACGGCTTGGTTTTAATACAGGCTTTTTTTGCCTGTAGGTATTCCATGCATCACAGACTGCGTAATGGGTGAAATCGAGAAGTTAGGACAGAAGTACCGTGTGGCGTTAAGGTAGGTGCAGCTTCTTCTCCATGTCTTGAACTTAATGTTTTAATATAAGTAAATGAAAAGCACTTTCCATGCTCTTGCACTCGAGGGTGGTTAGGTTCTTGCAGAGTCCCAAACTTGCGTTTTTTTTTCTGGCTGTATGAGAGGAGTGTGATGGCTTCAGTTGGAAATTATTATTTCTTTAAATTAAATGCTAGGTCTGAGTGCACAATATTGATCTGTAAATCTTTTTTTCCTCCTAAGACCTTCAAAATAACACTTCCTCCTGTTTCTCAAAATGTATATAGATTCTTTTTAAATTATATTAATTTCTAAAAATAAAGAAATGGCCGAAGTCCTGTGGAACCTCATGTTACTCCTGTAGGAGTAGGTTGGACATACTGATAATCTAGAGCCAAGTTACTGTGTGATTGGTAAAAAACTAGTCCAACGTAGTTCGTGCTCTCCAGATGTAACGGTCGGACATATTGTTCTTTATTTTTTATTGTGGCCTGTTGTGTTATAAAGTATCGGAGCCCATCCCCTAAACAGCTTTGATGTTCCCTTGCAGAGAGGAGGTGAAGTGTTCCTATATGCATGGTACAAGAGATCAGATACTAGAAGTTCTAGTTCTTCCCACAGATAACTTGTTTCAAATGACTTTGTTGGGCAAGAGCCTAACATTGTGGGGATCTTGAACCCAATTAACAAGTGCTAAGAAATACTTAACCTGTAATAATTAGCCAGACGAATTGCAGTCTTTTTTTGCTCCTCATTTCAATTAACTGTTCTGTACCATTCGCTCCATCCCTTCAGCACTTGTTTTGAGAATAACGTGCTGTGCCCCTGTTCCTCCAGACTGTGTTACTGTACCCTCTGGTCTGACTGCTGTCGTGCTGCCTTCTCTGTCCTCACAGAATTGCCAAGGACCCTCGGTTTGAACGCTTGCCATGTATGCACAAAGGAACCTACGCAGATGACTGCTTGGTACAGCGGGTCACTCAGGTATTTCTGTTCCTGAAATTTTCTATCCTGTGCTAACATACTAAAAATTCCCAAACCCTCCTAGTTACTGATGATTTAAATTTCCCACAAAGTAACTGTAAAGTCTCACTAAGGGGTAGCTCCAGTCCCTAGCACAACTTTATTTGAAGCACGGTGTAGTCTTTCCACAGCATTCCTGTGTAGGACAGCATCAAAGAGCACTTAGGATGGGAAACCTGTCAGCTGGGAAGGCTGGACAGACTTTGGATGTTTCTATGAGTCTATTTTGACGAGCAGAAGGATGCTACTACTCTGCTGTGGAGTTCTGTACAAGCCCTAGCAATGCCTCATTAAGGATTCATAGCCCTCTTGTGTTAAGTGAGCTGACTGAATAGAAGCTTTTGCTCAGGTTCACTTTTGCAGATTCATTGAATTTTTCTGCAGGTGTTGAATCTGACTCGCCTCTTTTGTTTTTTTGCAGCACAAATGTTACATTGTGGCCACAGTGGATAAAGAGCTGAAGCGGAGAATACGAAAAATCCCAGGAGTGCCTATCATGTACATTTCCAGGCACAGGTAAGGGACCTGGGACGGGGAGGAACATGGCCCGGCAGAATCTTTGGCTGACAGGGACTCTGTCACCGTGTACTTCCCTCCTGCATTGTCCATGGTGCAGGTTGCAGTAAAGGAGCTGCTGTTTGCACAAAAGTAGAGTACAGCTGCTGCTGGGAAGAGACTGGTCACAGACCCACTTTTGTTGCAGTCTAACATGTTCATTTGCTTTTACCTGGAGAACAGTTCCTCTGAGGCCACAGTTTCCATACATCAGTTTTGCTTACCAGTTTTGCAGCAGCAGGAACAGCAGGCAAATGCATTCTACAGATTGTTGAGGAAAAGAACCATTATTGTTCCATGTTCTATTTGATAGCTTTGTGTAGTCTCAGCTAAGAGATTGGATTTGCTTCTTAGATAAAAACCAAACCAACTCAGAAGCATGGTAGTGTGACAGATTTTTTTCCAGTATCTGCAAGTACTGGCTCGTTTTATTAATTCTTTTATATGCAATAGGATCAGTGATCTATTGTAAAAACATGTCCTTAAATTCATTTCCTGTTCTTTCCAAAACACTCATAAAGCCTAAGAAGATCCTCCCCCGCTTTGTTTGTCGTATCCAGCATTTTAGTATTTCTTCTACATAGTGCCCAGAATGATTTATCTTGCATGGAATCTATGCCAAATTGTTTCACAGTGTGACAGATATGTTTGGTAGCATGGTAAGAAGTCAGGAGGTGGAAAGAAAAGAGCCAAAGTCTTCAGATGGGATGAGAGATACCAGATACCAGAAAGGAGACAGTTGTGCTAGCAGTTGGAGACAATGAAATAGTAGTAATAAGCAGAGCAGTATGTCAGAAATGAGAATGTTGATTGCTACAAATATGTAAAGTCTCAACTGATCTACAATTAGAATGTGGCTCAGAAGATTTTTCTGTCAAAACATCTTTGCCCCTTATTCACTGTGGCCATGAATTATAAGTTGAATGGCCAAAGTTTTATTCTCCGTGGTGGTCTGCTCTTAAATCCTAAATCAGGTCCTATAAAACCACCTTTCCCCCCTCCACCTCTTCTCTGGAGATGGTGAGTTTTTGAGATGCCCAATTTCTGAGTTTGAGGTGAAGGATAACAGCAACCTTATGAAGGCTTTTCACTTTTGGAAGTAATGTTTTTCTGCCTGGGGATCCGAGCTGCAGGCAGAAATGCAACAAAGCTTCTTGCCATTCAGTCTGTGGCTGTGTGGGAAGGGAAGCAACGTGGAGTAGATTGTCTTCATAGGTTTTTCCTCTTTCTTTCTCAGATACAACATTGAGAGGATGCCGGATGATTACGGAGCTCCTCGATTCTAACCTGTTCAGCCAAGCCATCGATGCCAGGACACTGAGCCGGGGATAAGGGTCCTTCTGGTTCCAACCCTCCTGCTTTGTTTTTTTTTTGCTGAGACTCTGCCCATGGGACTGTGGGTGACATTGGACAGACTTCACAGCCTTGATCTTCTAAGAAGAAGCTACTTGGAAGAGCCTGTTTTTATTCATCCTTGTTCTGACTCGGCCTACTTGCCTATAGCTGGGAGAAACACGTGGGAAAGAGAAGACGGCAGGGCCCAGAACACACCTAACTCCCTCTTCATTGGGACCATTAGAAAAAGCGATTTCCACATTCTAAATTAAATGCTGGTGATGCAATCTGGCTGAGAATAAAACCACAATTTAGAAGTTTATTGTTGCTGCACCTCCAGCAGGACAAGTATTCCTCTGAGAAACTCCCTCACACCTGTCCCACGAGCAAATTGGAATCTGTGTTCTGGACAAAAGCTGCCAAAACTGCACTGGTTGGCGTGCCTTCTCTGGGCCAGTGGTCTGGAAGAGTTTAATTCAGAATTGATGGGTTTTTATTCAACCGTACAATGAATGAAGTTTGGTTAAATGTCCTGCTCAGATTCCTGTGTCTGTACTGGGTTAGGTGGCAGCTCGGTCCTTTTGCTTGTATGGAGAGTGATGGCGGGAGGGCAGGGTTGAGTCGGGACAGACCTGTCCATCTCGTTTGCTTGACACGTGTACACCTCAAAGCCTTATCCCTTTAATTAGGTGTCAGGGAAGGACAGGAAGGTATCAGACTTTGACAGGAAAGTGTCAAACTGAAAGGTATTAATGTGGGCTGGGAGCAGAGCAAGTGTGTGGAATCTGAACAATGGCTATGGATCGAGAGTCTCACAGAGACCTGCAGCATTTGCTCCAGGGAAGGAAGTGGTCCTGGGAGGAGGGAAGAGATGGTTAAGCCACATGGAGAAGTGGAGTGGAAAAAATATTTCGAAGCTTAACTCTGCATTCTCATATCTTCTCCATTACTCTTTAATTATAGCAGTATAATTTGCCCTTCTGATCTCTGCTTAGCTGTGAGGAGAATTGTCTTAAGACTGAGAGGCAATACACAATATGAGGATCACCAGGGGCCAACGTGCCATAGGGTATTTCCTGGCCAAAATACCAGCATTGGGGTAAAGGAGACTGAAAATTTATATTCTTGGTATCATTAAGAAAATTTCCAAACTTCAGTATAGCTTTTATCCTGTGGTGCCTTACACTGGTCCAGGCTGCAGAGACTGGCTGAACTCGGATGTCTGTACGCTGGGCAGCATAAAGTGAATAATACCTCTGCTCTGCTAATCATTTCTGTCCTTGGGAAATGCCCTGATGTGCCAGAAACTTTCTTGCTAGCACCCTGCCTCTAGAGAGATGCAGGAAACTTTGAGAACACATCAATCTTACCCCTCGTACTATCTCTGCTTGCTGCAGGCTCACCCACTAAACTCATCCCTCAAATAACAGCGCACTGACACTTTCAAATCATAGCCCCTTCCAGACTATCACAACTAAAGTTTATCTTCTCCACCTCCAGCCAGGAAGAGGGTAGCCAACAACCCTGACATTTTACACTCGGTGTATAATTGTACATTTCAAAAATAATATCCTTAGTTTTCTTCTCTTAATCCAAGTAGCATTTCTTTAAGCCAAGTGTTTGAGTATTGTCATGAACACTTGAAGACTGTGTTTAGTCAAATGAAGACTGAAAAACAGTTGTATGATTAGTTCTGTGTAACTTGGTTTTTAGAATCATTCTAGTTTTGAAAGACTTCTTCAAATAGAGTGAACTGGAATTGTTCCTGTGCAAATAACTTCACTTGAATTAACCTAAACTGAAGGAAAATGGAGAAGATAGATACAGACACTTATGGTAATATTTGATAGAAGTCTTTCTGGCACTGGAGAAGAGATCAAATGTACAGCAACATGATGAATTTGGGGAATGTCCTCTTGCCAGCAGAATGCCCATTTACCAAAGTCTTTTACTCCTTAAACTAACATTCCTTGTAACCTGGAATCGGTGTAAAGCAATTCCTAAAAAAGGGTTGAAGACAGTTGGAGATGAGCAGCAGGGAGAAAGTATTGGCAGTGAGCGAACCCATCAAGAAATTGTCGTAAATTGAGTGTAATTGGCAAGACAGAAAAACTTAACTGCAAAAGCCTGCTCAGAAGAGAAACACAGGATGGGAAAGGACCATGGAGTTATCAAGTGCTTCCCCTGCAGTCCCAGGGAGCCTGTGTAGCAGGGAGTTCACAGGGAAGCAATTACTCCCTGCACATCATGGCATCCCAACCTCAAATCCAACTTACAGTATATCAAAGGAGGAAAGATCATTATCTGTGTAACGGGAAAGAGTTCGGTAAGTCAGAGTGCTTTGATGTTCCTACGAATGCAGAACTCTGCCAGTCCAAACCAGAAGGGAAATTTTATCCTGACCCAACTCTGGCAGTTGGTTTAAACCTGCACATGAGTTAGACATCAAACAGATGCCTGCAATGTTTCTCAGTAACTCTAGGGAATCCAGCCTCCCCCTTAACATCCTGTCTCTTGCTGTAGCCAGTTTCCATAGCTTCAGAAGACACAGAAAACAATCATAACCGCCGCAAAAAGAAGGTCTGAAGTTATGCAAAGAATGGGAGAACATAATTTCTACTCCTTTCTGGGGGCCACCAGAAGGCCCAAAATTGCTGCAGTGTTACCACCAGATGAAATGAAGAAACTTAAGCTGCTCATCCAGATGTGACACTGGTTAATTGAGGGATAACTGAAATGTGGTAGAATAGCATTTAGAAGCAGGAAGAGCATGAGCTATTAGAAAAATTAGCTAAAACTATGATGACATAGACTAATGTTACAGACTGTAATGAATAAGAGGGCATGATGTGGACTTAACAGGGTCGCTTTAGGACAAGGGAATGTTGGTTGGGAGGAGTCAACTCTACTGCTGCCCAAACCAGATTTGAACATTGACAAAAGCATCTGTCAAGTTACTTGGAAGTTACACTTTGGCCTCCTTGATGTAGGCTGGAATATAATTGCTACTGAAAATGGTTGAGCACATGTATTTCTTCATAAGGGAAGTAACAGATTTCTTCACAATATTGAGTAACAACAACAGCAAGAACATTGGGAGAGACCTGCCTGCAGGAAATAACCTTGAGTAGACTGATAGCAAAATATCACTTTGAGTGAATCAATCAGGAGGATAAATCAAAGGATGTTTACAACAGGAATTCCCTGTTGTGAAAGGACAGGCTTTTGAAAGTGAGTAAACTGGCCCAAAATGCTCAAAGATATAAATGTTAAGTATGTTTATGATATGGAGGAGGTGGGGGCTAAAAGTACAAATCCTATCTGGAAATCATATTCACTGCAAGAGGAGTGCTGCCCTAGACAGAAAAGGATCAATAATCGTCTCTAGATGAAAAGACAGGATACTAAGGAACAGAAAAGACAGTTCTATGTGTATTAAGATAGTTTTCTTAAAGATTTGCATCTCATAACTTGAGTTCACACTCTACTTGAAGCTTTTCATGTAGATTCATGGTGTATCACCTCTGTGGATTCCCTAGGATTTAAGAACAAATGAACACAAACTCCAGCTTTTCCAGCAAAGAGGAAGAAGCTTTACCTTACCTAGCAGTCTGGTTTTCCTGATTTTTTCCCAATTGAAAAGTCTTTGGACGTTTCCTCCAACACCTGCCTTCTCCACTGGCTGGGGATCCTTGATACACCAGCTATGATCTGAGGACTGAACATGCAAAAAATTGCTCACGTTTCCTGCATTTGGGAAGGAGGGCAAGTAGAGAGACACCAGAACACTGGTGCACTGCTGACCTGAACGGTATCCACTAGGCTTCACTGCCCAGCTACTAGAGTTCACACACACAAGCCCTCATCTTTGCTTTACAAAGGGAGTTCAGCCCTTTGCTAGAATCTTTGCTAACTGGCTACAGAAAATATTTGTCTGTTTAACTCACATTTCAACGTGGGAAGAGAGAAACCAAAGAAAAAAATTCTTTCCCACTCCTCAGTGCAGTGGCTTCTGTAATGGACGAGGCAATTTCACACGTCCACGGCCCTGATCTCATTTTTGCCTCTCCGGTTTATCACCAGCACATTCACCAAAAACCAAACAGAATTTTCACGCCATTCCTCGGGGCTGGGTCCCCCAGAACGGCCCAGTCCCTGTGCGGGGGCTCCGTGCCGCCGCCGTTCCCGAGGCCGCAGAGCCCCTCGCCACGGTCACAGCCTTCCCCAGGCCTGGCTCAGGGGCGTGTATGGCCGGACGCACTGCACCCTCCCATCGCCAACCACACTTAATTAGCTCTGCCATCGCACCTCGGGTCACCGACACCGAGCTCGCCGTAGCGCCGTGTGGCTGAAGCAGGGCGGCGACACCCACCCTGGGCCGCTGCCGGCGGGCGGGCGAGGCGAGACACGGAAACATGGCCGCCGTCACCTCAGGGTAACCGGGGTCACCGGCGCTCCACAGCCTGAGGGAGGCGGCCGGGCTAGCCCCACAGGGGCACTTCGGGTCCCACAGCAGGACCCGGCTTGCTCGTCACCCCCCTCCCCAAAACGTAACCCCCGCCGGGGTGCGCTCTATCTCCCTTCTGCCCTCCGCCTCCCCCTGCGCAGGGGCGGGCGGGAGGTGCCGCTCTGCACTGGCCTCCACCCCTCTCTATGCTCCCCACCGCTGCGTTACCGTCCTCCCCCCGACAGTGAGGGCGGCCGGTCGCTAGGGGGCGCGCTGCCGGTGCCGAACCCGCCAAGCGTTGGGAGGGGGGGCGCCCCTCGACGCTCTAGCGCCCCGCTGGCGCTCTACTGCCCGAGAGGGCGGTGCGCCTCCCCCCCGCGCAGGCGCCGTGGGCCGCACGCGCCGCCGCCGCCGCGGCCTGTGGAAGCGCCGCGCTCCGCTCCGCTCC